CCATGTCAGAGGATGAAGAGAGCACATCCAGTTAGTCACAGTCAGAGAAACAGGACTACACTGGAAAACAGGCCAAGCTCCAACATCTAGAAACAAAGGTCCCTATGTCCTCCAGCAGTCTAAGCCCATAGCAGCAGAACTATAGAGATAGCTCAGGATAACCTGAGCCACTCTAAAAAAAAAAGGAAATTTTTAAGCCTACCCTTAAAAGTAGACTTAAATGTAAAGGCTCTTATTAGTTGTCTGTCGTTATTTAATGCATTTCTGAGGAGATTAGAAAAAGCATCGCTAGAAGCTGCAGTCATTTCACTGGGAGAGAAATTAACTGTTAGTGGGAACATCACAGAAAATACTGAATAATAAATAAGCAGGATCTATTTTTCTTGCAGGGGGGTGGGGTCAATAGATCTGTGGTCTGTGTTCGCGGTTAAATGTGGATCAGAGAGCTCAGAGCAGCACGGAGGTCGGTGGATCCTTCCAGCCGCACACAGTCCGGTCCAAAGCAGATGGAGATGACAGGTTCTGGAAAGGCTGGAGTTACTAAAGGGGAACATCTCTGGTGTTGGTGGGATGTCAGACCCTCCATAGCAACCATAGCAACCCATTCTAAGCTGGTGAATCATTGAGAAGGTTTCAGCTCCGGTTCTGCACAAACTGCTGAAGTTCCTAATGAGGGGGAACCCTGAACTTTGACCCATTTAAAAAACAAACAAACTCACTTTTTAATCCAGTTTCCTTTAGAAGAAGCTGAACTGTTTAAAGAAGTTCAGCCGCCGTGACTTAAACGGATCAACCGGTTCTTATGAGACCAAAGGAAGATTCATCCCCAACAAACAGTCTGGAAACTTTTCCAAATAGAGGAATCCTGGTCAGATGGACCAGAGCAGCAGCTCTTCTCTGAGCTCCACTGGATGATGGAGCTCCTCTCCTCACCTTTAAGGCAGAAGCAGCAGAAGAGACTCAGATCGGTCACATCCCAGGAGGTCATGGATGGAGGAATATTCACCTTTCAGCTCAGCTTCTTCTCCACCAAAGACCTTAGAAACATCCTCATGATTGCAGATGAAGTTCTAAACCTTCTTTCTATCTCCTGTGAGTTCCAGCCTGTTCAATTCCTTCTCCTTATCCAGTGGTCGTCAGGGAGGCGGATCAGAGAGAACTTCCTGATCATGGTCTGATCAGTTTGCTCTGATGGAACCAGGTTTATCACTGAAGAACAGAGATTGATGGAGAAATGATTTCATACATCATCTTACTTCTTCTCCTCATTGCTTCTGCCAGCAGCGTCACTCGGATCGGCTGCCAGCTCCTCCAGCAGCCAGATGGTCGGATGCTTTCTGCTAACAGGCCCTGGAAGAAGCTTTCAGAAGAAGCAGAGCTGTGGAATTTCAGCTCTAGCGTTAGGTTTAGCGTCTTCCTTTGACTCCTGCTGAAAATGGAGACTGAATTTAGTTCCCCACAGAAGGACGACCTTCCTACTCTTTCCGTTAGTGAATAAGACCAAGGAACCCGCCACCATGTGTCCGTTAGAGCAGGCATCCCTAATGTGGGTCCTGGAGGGCCGCTGTCCTGCAGGTTTGAGAGGTTTCCTGCTCCAGAATGTTAACTGTAATATGCAATTACCTTCCACTGCACTTTAATTGAGATAACTTCTGTCCAAACTTTATTTATTCATTTTATAGTGAAACCAATCTGTATATAATGCTATTGTAAATAACTGTAAAAACCTTTTTTTTTATAGTAATATCCACCTGTATATTATATTCGGTACATATCCAGCTGTAAATTTAGTTCATAACACTAGTTATCTATATATTATATTCATTATTTATAATGGCATTCATCTCTATACTCATTCAGTAGAACCCATGTCCTGTATTTATGGAACCATTATTTATCCTATTGCACTTCTGGTTAGACCTGAACTACATTTCATTGCCTTGAACCTGTACCTGTGTGATGACAATAAAGTTGAATCTAATCTAATTTAATCTAATCAAAGCCATTCTCAAGCACATATCAAGGTGCTGATTTTGAGCCTGGATCCAATCGAGTAATTAAAGGAAAAGTTCGCTCACATTCAGAATTCAAACTTCTGAAAATACTTTAAATCTGAAATGATTCCATCCTGTTCAATAAATGATCAGTGTTTTTAATTCAGAGTAATTTTCATATGAATGTGCTTATATATATAAATAACTTTAATTCTGTATTAAAAGTAGCATCAGCTGCAGCTAGAACAAACCAACAAATTTTAAATATAACTTGCAGTGATAACGACGGCAGAGACCTTTTCTTCTTATGGAGAATTCCTGCTGACTAGGTGCATCCTGGCACTTTGCTGCCTCTATAGGTGAAATACAAAATTACCGGCGGAGGCATTTCCAGCACAGAGATATGTCACTGATATGTCCAAAAGCCGTTGCACATGTCATCCATAGAATCTTCTTTCCTACCTTTAAAGGAAAAGTCGCTCATATTCAGAATTCAAACTTCTGAAAGTTCTTTAAATCTGAAATGATTCCATCCTGTTCAATAAATGATCAGTGTTTTTAATTCAGAGTAATTTTCATGTGAATGTGCTTTACTGGAGGCATCCATGTTTGTCAAAGAACACTACTGCCACCTACTGGTTAGTGACGGTGCGGTATCGGCTGTTGATCAAGTCCCAGTGCTGTATCTGGTGTTTGTCACAACGCGCTATTATCCAAGTCATCTTGAAAACATTCTTCTTCCAAATGTTGGCTACATATTACGGGTTTTTTCTCTGGCCAGAAGTTCGATGGCAAATCCTCCCTCTTCAAGTTGGCGATCCAACGACCAACCCGTCCGTGGAGGATCAGGTACCAGAAAGGTGGAATAATTCTTTTTTTTTCACTTTTACCCGATGTATTCCAGCTGCCATGCACGTGGGCATTGTCAGTTTCACTATAGCTCTGGTGAATTTCAATGGTGAAGTCCTCTGGAAATCTTCAATAATTGTTGTTGATTGCAGATGTGTCTAGTAGTTCCCATTGATTTAGCTTGTAAAGCGGGGAGAATGGCGCTAGGCTTACCGCACCGTGACGTCACTGCTGGAAGATGGCAGGAGGGAGGGGCTACTATATTTGGGCAAAAATGGCCGCTCCCGGACTCAGTGATCGCAATGAAAATTATTAGGCCGGAGCAGCGACAGCGCTGCGAAGGCCTATCGTATTTCGAAAGTTTCTTATTATTATTACGGTTCTTTTGGCACTTTGAACGCATTTTACGGGGACTTCGATTATTCAAAAACTCAGGAAAACGTGGCAGTAAATTGTCCCCCGCGTGAAATAGCCCGTCTGTAATGGAATCCAAAATGGCCGCACCCAAATTACGCCACAGCGCCCCCTAACGTGAGTTGGGGGAAACTGTAAGTCACAGAGATTTGAAATTTGGCACACAGATAGATCTCCTCAAATCATGAAAAAATGTCTCTTGGGGGTATGCCCTAAAACCAGAGGTGGAAAAAGTACTAAAATATCATACTCAAGTAAAAGTACCAACACTTGGATGAAATATTACTCAAGTACAAGTAAAATTACCCATCAGAAAAATGACTCAAGTAAAAGTCATAAGTAGCTTATTTAAAATGTATTTTAAGTAAAAGTTACTTAGTTACTCACTATAGTGCTTCCGGGCCCAATTATTTGTCTTCCTTTCGGTTTTCCAAATTCTTTTTTTTACTCAGTAAAGGAGGGGATTTGTAATGTAACCAAATACAATACTTCACTCAAAACGTAATCAAGTAAAATTTTAATTACCGATTTTAAAAACTACTTGAAAAATACAAAATACACAAAAAAACCTACTCAATACAGTGTTTATACATCATGTGCATTGTTTCTTTTCTTAGTCAGATTAGACGGAGCAGAAGGCCTTTCTTCACATTGTGGATGTCCCTGTGTGTACGGAGGTCATCTAATCAAGACAGCCTTCGTGTCTTTAAGAGTACACAGGATATGGGCACATCTTGGAGCCGGTCTGATAGTGGAGAGCTGTAACCCTGAAGCATAGAAGCAAGCTGCATGAAGTTCAAGACATGGATGGCGTGTCAGTTTCTGATACGGACAGCTCAACATGAACATGATGCAACACATAGACTCATGAGCTATAAGAAGCAGGTGATGACCACTGATGACCTTCATCGGGGCTCAAACTTTGCCGGAGACGTGATTTTTGAGCCCACAGCTGTACAAGCTCTAAGCATTTTTCTCTGTCCTGTAACGACCTGATCTGGAATAAACTCTGTTACTTTTTACTCCTGTTTTATAGTCCTTTTTATATGGTTTTACCAAGTTTGAGTTAAGAGTAGTAAAGAACTTGCTCCCAGGAAAAGAACCGGTGAGGAGGCCCCCTGGGGCGCTACAGCCCTTGTCAGAACCAAAGGGGACAAATCCTCCTCATTTTAACAACAGTAACTTGAGTAAATGTATTTCGATACTTTCCACCTCTGCCTAAAACCCACAGGAAGTCAGCCATCAAAGTGCGTTTTTTGGCAATTTTTCATTATTTTTATTTTTTTTAACTGATTAAAGCTGTGAACGTGTTGGTCTTAGGTATAAATAAACTTATCCTTACTGACCGGACTTTTCCTTTAATAAAAAGAGAAACCATGAAATAATGCCTCAGCACTGATTGCTGGGACTTCCAGTCAGGTGGTTTCAGGCTGTTAAACTCAGAGAGCGAGGCCTGCAGCTTCTCCTAATCAGAGTTCATGCTTCGCCCCATGTGTTTTCCTCCTACACCGTGGAAACCTTCAGAGGAAGCCACATGGGGGAACAGGGCGTTCTGCTGGGTGTCCTATGAAGGCGCCTCTGTTGGTGATTGTCCTAGGAGGCCTCAGCTCGGTCTGGGACCTTCATTCTAGGTCCAATAACGTAAATACGTGGACCTCATGGCTGCGGTGTTCATCAGCGGACTCAGCTGGCTCTGATTCTGCAGAACATCCTACATTTTGATTGTTTTATGTTTGTGTGCAGATCATCTCCCAGAGGAAACTGTCCAAAGCTCTGCTGAGACCAGGAGGAACGGTCGGGAAAGCCATCATCACTGTGAGTCTCACCTCCTCACTCACTCTCCCCATCAGTCTAATCCCCTGCAGGCAGAGTCTGCTCATTTCTCTCGGAGTGCTTATCTTTTCCCTGTTGGACCACACATTCGCTTATTTCTGTCATTTTCCAGTTGTGAACCGGATCAGCAGCTTTTCCTGTCGGTTTGCCGTCTCTGAGGAGCGGATCAAAAACACAATCAGTCGTTCATTTCACCAGAAACCTTCTGCTGGAAAATCTCCCCTTCCTATGATCCCCTTCACCTCCACGAACCTGAAACGCTTCATTGACTTTTACTTTGAAGGATTTAGGAACAGGAAGCAGCTCTAGCGTCAGTCTCTCATCTATTTTCAATTCAATTCAGTTTATTTATATAGCGCCAAATTCACAACACATGTCATCTCAAGGCACTTTACAGTTCAACCAGATCATACAGTCAAATTTTCACTTTTCTTTATCTTTTCCAAGTTCTAATTATGTTCTATCTCTGTTTAATTTAACATGTTTTTATTTAAGTTCATTTTTTTAGATGTAAGAACATCATTCTTTCTTCATTCTCTTCGGTTTTGTGTTTTTCATCCCGTTTTCCGCTCATTCTTCTGGGATGAGGAGTTCGGTCCGTTTCCATGGAGACGAACGGATCTGATCAGATAAAATGATTCGGATCAGAACCATGGAACCGTTTCCTAATTAAAGAATTATTACATCAGACTCTTGGTTCCTTTTCAGCAGACATGAGATGAACGCAGATCTATGTTTATAGAATAAATCTCTAGAAGAATTTAGCTGTTTGAGCTGAACTCTGATTGGTTGAAAGAAACCAGGAAGTATGATCACTGAATTTTAATTCCTGCATATTTTATTTTCTCTTCTTTTTTTTTCTCAACTCTTTTGGACCTCAGAACCTGACTGGGTCAACCAACTGAATAGAACAGTCTCCAGTTTTCAGGCAGCAGAGGGACGTTTTTTCCCCTGTTTTTACCTCGTCTGTAAGGAAAACAGAGATATTTCGGTTTATTCAGAGGATAAGAGAAACAGAAAAGCTGCTTTGCTCAAATCAGAAACTCAAAACACGTCTTGGAAGAATTCTGAGATTCTGTTCTAGAATCTAACTGGATCATCTTCATCAGGTTCCTGTCTGGCTTCCTCTTCCTCACCAGCTTCATCTTCATCCATAGAATCCCTAAAAATGGATCATAAAATAAATATTTATTATTTTATTTAAATAGCTATCTAAAGCATGATTTTATTATATTAAGTTTATCATTGCAACGTAACGAGCACAATCAAATATTTAAATGTCCGTATAAATAAACACAAACATTTAAAATTAATAAAAAAAAATGTAATATTTAAAAACTTTTCAAATTAATTATTTTAATATGATTTAAAACATTGGAAACTATGAATTAAACAACTTCATATTTAAATTATGAAATTATGAATTAAATCATTTAATATCGTTGAAAAACATCTAAAATGAATTAAAAAAATGTAATATTATTTAAAAACATTTGAAATTATACACTCACCGGCCACTTTATTAGGTACACCTGTCCAACTGCTCGTTAACACTTAATTTCTAAGCAGCCAATCACATGGCGGCAACTCAGTGCATTTAGGCATGTAGACATGGTCAAGACAATCTTCTGCAGTTCAAACCGAGCATCAGTATGGGGAAGAAAGGTGATTTGAGTGACTTTGAACGTGGCATGATTGTTGGTGCCAGAAGCGCTGGTCTGAGTATTTCAGAAACTGCTGATCTACTGGGATTTTCACGCACAACCATCTCTAGGGTTTACAGAGAATGGTCCGAAAAAGAAAAAAACATCCAGTGAGCGGCAGTTCTGTGGGCGGAAATGCCTTGTTGATGCCAGAGGTCAGAGGAGAATGGCCAGACTGGTTGGAGCTGATAGAAGGGTAACAGTGACTCAAATAACCACCCGTTACAACCAAGGTGGGCAGAAGAGCATCTCTGAACGCACAGTACGTGGAACTTTGAGGCAGATGGGCTACAGCAGCAGAAGACCACACCGGGTGCCACTCCTTTCAGCTAAGAACAGGAAACTGAGGCTACAATTTGCACAAGCTCATGGAAATTGGACAATAGAAGATTGGAAAAACGTTCCCTGGTCTGATGAGTCTCGATTTCTGCTGCGACATTCGGATGGTAGGGTCAGAATTTGGCGTCTACAACATGAAAGCATGGATCCATCCTGCCTTGTATCAACGGTTCAGGCTGGTGGTGGTGGTGTCATGGTGTGGGGAATATTTTCTTGGCACTCTTTGGGCCCCTTGGTACCAATTGAGCATCGTTGCAACGCCACAGCCTACCTGAGTATTGTTGCTGACCATGTCCATCCCTTTATGACCACAATGTACCAAACTTCTGATGGCTACTTTCAGCAGGATAATGCGCCATGTCATAAAGCTGGAATCATCTCAGACTGGTTTCTTGAACATGACAATGAGTTCACTGTACTCAAATGGCCTCCACAGTCACCAGATCTCAATCCAATAGAGCATCTTTGGGATGTGGTGGAACGGGAGATTCGCATCATGGATGTGCAGCCGACAAATCTGCGGCAACTGTGTGATGCCATCATGTCAATATGGACCAAACTCCCTGAGGAATGCTTCCAGCACCTTGTTGAATCTATGCCATCAAGAATTGAGGCAGTTCTGAAGGCAAAAGGGGGTCCAACCCGTTACTAGCATGGGGTACCTAATAAAGTGGCCGGTGAGTGTAAATTTAATAATTTAATATTTAATTAAATATGAAATCTATAATTTTATATAGTTAAATTTTTAAAAGAAAAAATATGAAATTTAAAATGAAATAAAAATATTATTTGAAAGAAATTAATGTGTTTAATAATGAATATAATCATAATGTATAAATAAATATTCAGTGAATTAGTTTTATAGTTTATATTCTTGGGGGGGGGGGTTGTTTGGTCTGTTGCATTGTTATTTTTGTTGCGACCGGCTGAAATGTCTGAGAGGCCCCCCCGCTTCACGACATCCCTTCAGGTTGACCTTTGACCCTGCCCCTGCTGCCCTTTGGCACCAATCTTCCTCATTTCCCTGCAGCTTCAGGCTGTTCTGCAGATTTCTCCGCTCCTGATCTGAATGTTTAGTGTTTGATATCAACTTAATGATGGCGTCTTAGTCTCGTTTTCAGTTTCTTATCAAAGGAAATGTGTTTTTTGGGATAATCTTCAGGTCTCAGCAGAGGAGCTGACGGGGAACGATGACTACATCGAGCTCTCCTTCAGCGCCAGGAAGCTGGACGATAAGGTAGCAGCTTCTGTCTCTGAGATCCATCTTTTTTTGAATGTGTTAATAAAGGATGTAAGCAAATAATTCACTCAGGATTAATTGTGTTTTAATGAATTAAAATAGTTCCATCCGTTTGATTGATACCATCTAATTAAAAGGAATCTATCAGTATTGTAGTGTTATCATGTAGTTGCATGTAGTGCTACCGCCGTCCCCTAGAGGGCACCACAGTTTATTTTCAAGTAGAGGCTAAAGCCGAACGTACACTGTACAATTTTTTACCCTTTTTGGGCCGACTCTGCAGTCGTGCAAGAATTTTTCGATCGAGTTGAAGTCTCATGATGCGTCCTGCGTCGCATAGTATACGGGGGTAACGAGAGACAATCAACCTCTCACGAGCACCTCCCCATCAGGAATCGTAAGGTCGGGAGAAAATCAAACATATTTGAAATTCAGTCGGCCGTCGTAAGGCCGCATCAGAGCGTCGGGTCGCACAGTGTGAGAACAAACATTGTGAGCTGTGAACATTTAAACCCTGTGGTTTCGTCGTACAGTTTGAGCTGTAGCTGCGTGCAACGATTGAAAATATCGCACAGTGTACGCCCGGCTTAAGTGAAGTACCAGAGCAGAACCATTGATGGTCCAGGCCAATTATTTCAACTGTTTAATGAATTTTCTTTGGTTCTGTTAGTGAATCTAAAATCCTTCAGTTCTCCTAAACAGGCCCATTTAGCGGCGCTGCATGTAGAAGCAGCAGAACTTCTCTGCTAGATCAGAAGGAGAGGATAATTGAAAAGTTGAGGACATTACGCTAGCAGTTAGCATGATAGATGAAGGCTTTATGACCTCAAGGAGCTGAGTTCTAAGATTCGTCTGAGAGGAACCAGAACCAGAAACACCTGTTTGAAAGCTCCGCTAACAGCACAGAAGCTACGTTCACACAGCAAGCCGAAGTGACCCAAATCCGATATTTTTGCTCATATACGAACTGGATCTAATCTTCTGATGACATTCTGAGCAACAGATTAGATTTTTTTCCAATGCGATCCAGGTCACTTGGCTATGTGGTCCTGAATCCGATACATCTTTTTCCAACGCGACCTGTGTCTGAACGGTAGAGACGGACATTTTTTCGGGAATCCCACGGGTCACGGGATTCCCATGGGATTCCCGTAGGATGGGAGTCAGTATTAGTAACGATCACGTGATTGGGACGGTACAGGATTAAACATTAACGGGAGCAGACGGGAGCGGGAGCAAACCAATAGTAACCAAAAAAAACTAGGATTGATGCCAAAAAATAAAATAGAAAAAAAATCCAGTACTGGCACCGCCATTTTGTAGTTTTTTTCCTTGAAACCTACACTATAATGCGAGTCAAAAAACTACATGACCCAAAAACCAACAGTGCTTCCGCTCTTTTTCACCCGCGCTCAAAAACAAGAATGGAGGGACCAACAGTTACTACAGTTAGTAACTTAACTGACCCTTCATAGAAATTCACATTCAATGTATTGGCAGAAATCTTATTAAAGACAACAAGAATGGAAGCAGGAGCAGGAGCGGGAGTCATTCTGAATGGGAGTGGGAGTCATTTCACCAGGAGTGGGACGGGACAGGATTTAGATTTCTACTCTGGCCCGGGATCGGGACGGGACACAATTTGTTTCTCTGGGAGTGGGACGGGACAGGAGTGAAAATCCACTCCCGTGTCAGTCTCAACTGAACGTCCAGGTCGCGTTCATCCGACCTGAACGCCATTAATACTCAAAAAAGGTCACTATTCTGCATCCTGCTACGCAGAAGCAGCAAGAAAAACAACAACCATGGCGGACGATGATGCGGAGAGCAGTCTTTATTTTCAACCTTCTTGAAATGATTGTATTTTAATGCACTGATTGAGGTTGGGAGAGAAATGAAAGATGGCTGGATGAGCTCCGGCACTAACATCCGTGTCTATTTCCGCAAACACAGAGCATGCTCGCTTGTGATGTCATTGCATCCTAGTAGTGGGAAAAAAGTATTCAACTATTCATCCCAGTTAAATAAACGGAGATCGATGGATTTCACTCAGTCTGCACTCTATTTTCATATCTTTGCAAAGAGAGAACAGTTCATCATTCGGCCCTTATTGCACGGTAATCAGCCCTGTTCTGCCTGAGCAGCGTTCGTTCCTCCTTACTAACAATAATGGAAAGTAGTCAGAGTCAAAACAAATTACAGACATAACATGTTACTGTTTAACCAAAGTGTTTTTAATTTGTTTTGACTCTGACAAACTTTCTGTTATTGTCAGTAAGGAGGAACGAACGCTGCCCAGGCAGAACAGGGCTGATTACCAACACTGGAAAAAAATCAGAATCTAGATAAGTCATTTTTTTCTTAAAATAAGTGAATTTGTTCTTGTATTGAGGAGGTACAGTAAAAGGGACATTTTGCCAATGGCACAAGAAATCTTACAATTAAAATAAGAAAACACAATTACATTGTCTTATTTCAAAGTGCATTTTATCCAATTATCTTATTTCAAGAGTGAAAATACTCATTCTATTGGCGAACTATCTCATTTACCAACTCAAATTAAGGGTAAATACACTTAATTTAAGAATTTTTACTCATTTCTAGATCGTCTTTCCCATGTAAGGGCCATATGATGAACTGTTCTCTCTTTGCAAAGATATGAACATAGAGCGACGACAGAGTGAAATCCATCAACCTCCGTTTATTTAACTGGAGGGAATAGTTTAATACGTTTTTCCCCCACTACATAACCTAATAGGTTCCTGTTTTGTTATTTTTGTTAAAAATAAGTTTAATAATGTGTTAGGAAGAGTAGTTTTTGTTTATTCAGTTAATTTTTAATCCAGCTGGAACAATAAATGTTTAAAATATAATGATGTTTTGTTTTTTTAAACTCTGCATCTTGTAGAAAAATATGAAACCCTTCATGTTTTGGTAAAACAGGAAACTTGTGTTTAAGTCGATATCTTTTTTTCCCACGTTGGGATATTTCCAGAGGATCAAATGTTGGGGTGACTCTCATTCTCTGAGCCGGCTTCCCCCTGAAATATGAAAGCCTTGTTAACACGGCTATCAGATGTTCCTCAGCTTATGAGGAGGATATTTGCTCCGAATAAACCAGAACTGAAGGTTTCTTTGTCCCAGTATGAAGGAAGTGACTGGGGTTCGTATTAAAGCCGTGTGAGAACATGAAGGAGTTGGAACGTCTCTGAGGGACCCGGTGGATCTGGAGCTGAGCGCTGTCTGTGGTTTTCCTTCAGGACTTCTTCAGTAAGTCGGATCCGTTTCTGGAGATCTACAGAGTGAACGACGACGCCACCATGCAGCTCGTCTACAGAACAGAGGTACCAAATAAATAAATAAAAACTTCACGCTCCAAAACCTGCAGAAAAAAAGACTTAATCTCCACAACATGTTCCTTCATTAACATCTGTCCATCCCTGCAGCTCAGACTGAGGCACAATCTCAGAAAATATTTCAGTTTTCCACCTGTTGAATTTTCACAGTCCTCCAAACGCTTGAAGCTCTTCCGGCATCAAGAACATCCGTCCATCCATGAAAAGTTGCAGGATAATTTTTTCTCTCATCTGTCCTGCAAACGTCTCCTCGGTTGTCCAGCAGTTCAGGTCTGTGTCTGGCGATGAGGTCAGGTCTATCCAGCAGCTGGACCCTTCTCCTCCAAAGCTGCAGACTGGAAAATTTCCTTCAAGATCTTCCTCTGAGGAGCCTTTGATCCTCAGAGGGTCGCTGTTTATCGGCTGTTCTGGGATTTCCTTTCAGCCTGAGATGCAGGGATGGATCGATATTAAAGACATGATTCGGATCTCTGGTTCTGCAATCTGCAGATAAAAGCAGGAAACCAAAAGTTGCTGCTGATTCGAGCAGCAACTTTATTTCTGCACATTAATTATGTTTTTGATAAAAATCCTTTGGCTAAAATGCCATCAGAACGCTGATAATATTCAGTGTGTCTCAGCCCCCCCCTTCAGTGTCCACCATATTGGGTCAGTCCATTTGCTGCACATGTTCAGAAAGGTCCAAACAGACAGCAGCAAACCATTTGAAAACAAACCATGCAAAGAGCAGTGTTGCCAACTTAGCGCTTTAGTCGCTATATTTAGCCACTTTTCAGACCCCTCTAGCACTTTGATTTCTAAAAAGCTCCTAGCGCCAAATCTAGAGACTTTTTTTCTGCTACTGGAGACTTTGGAGACAACATCTAAAAGCAGCGAACTCTGCTCTCCAGAGCGAGTAGATTGGTAACCCCGCCTCCTGCTCTCCTCTATCTTGTCGGCTGTCATGATTCATGCAGCTATTATTTCATCCAAATGAAAAATGGAGAACAGATAAGCAGATCATGGCTTGTCTGCAGTGAAAAGAAGGACTGGGTTATTTACTTTGGCCTTTTTGGAAACACAGGAAGGAGCAATCAGCTAAGTGAGCTTAGTGCTTGGAAAAAATCTTTCATTCCTTTAGAGACAGCATGAAAAGTCAGCTGAGTACAAAACATAGAGAGGAAAACAAGAAGAAAAGGGACAAGAAGAGAGGGACACAACCTAGAACAGATCACGGATGTCTATTCTATTAACATTTCTATATCTGTAGAATGGGGCTGTTTGATGTGTTGTTTTCTCCATTCAGAGGGGCCCCTGCCTGTCTTTGCATAGGAATTTCCTAAATCCGCCCCTGGTAGGAACATGCAAACAGGCAGTTCACAACAAAAAACGGCGTCTAAAAAATAAGAAAAAAATATAGTGTTTTAAGTGAATAATTGCTTATTTTGAGCAAAATAATCTGCCAGTGCAGCAAGCAAATGAGATAAGATTTCTTAAAACAAGAACATAATATCCAAGTAGTAAGCATCCAAAAAATCTTAAATCAAGTATAAAAATCAATTTTTCTTAAACTTGTTAAGATTTTTTCTCTTATTAAGTAATTTATTCTCATTTATTAGTCATTATTGGTTAGAATTAAATGTCCTCTAACCAATTATTGCTAAAAACAAGCATACAACATGCTGATGCTCTCTTGCTGTCAGCGTAGGGATTGAGGAAATGTTCCTGTTTTATTCCAGCGTTGCTTCAGTTTCCCTGTCTGCAGGATGTTCCTCAGGCGGCTCCAGGTCTAACATCCTCTCTCTGTCTCCCTCAGACGGTCATGAATAATCTCAATCCTGTGTGGAAAACCTTCAAAGTTTCTCTGAACTCGCTCTGCAGAGGAGACCACGAGCGGAAGCTGCAGGTAAAACTCTCAGCGTCTCTGATGTCAGTCGATGGATGTGGCGGCTCCAGGCCGTCTGATTGGCTGCTGCAGCAGGTCAGAAGGTGACAGGAAAGGTTTCGCTGCCTCTTCCTCTGCCTCCATCAGCCTCAGAAATTCAGCAGCCCGATGTTTGGATCGTCTTATTTCAGCAGCGTTTAGCCGACAGGAAGGAGCTTTTAGCTTGGAATATTTGACAGGGTCTGCACCTTGTTGAATCACATCTTTAGGCTTTGCTCTGCAAGATTTTTGTAAAATACTCTCTGAAATGACTTGGAATGCAGCAAACTTTTGTCTTTCTTCTAACACTACTTTTGTCCTTATTATGTCTGTGTATTAAGTATGTGTGGTTGACTAGATCCGCTGCGCATACACGGTACAATCTTTTCAATCGTTGCACGCAGCTACAGCTCACACTACGATGAAACCGCAGGGTTTAAATGTAACACAGATTACGATGTTTGTTCTCACGCTGTGCGACCCGACACTCTGATGCGATCTACTTGCTCAGGCCGTACGTCTAAAATCCAGGTGGGACTCAGCTCCACAGTGAGATGGCGCTACTCGGACTCGTCTATCCAGAAGAAAAACCAGTAGCAGAGGAACATGAAGCTCACTAGAGTGAAACGCGCTGCCTTGGATATTTGGGCGATTTAGTGCTGAAAGCCCTAAAACGAAAAGGAGACGACGTATTTGGACAAAGACGTGGCTGAGCTAACATGGCTACTATGCTGCTGGGTTTTCCTCTGAGAGGAAGAAGAAGAAGAAGAATCCTTCTTTGCCCACGACCACCTTACGACGGTTGACTGAATTTCAAAGATGTTTGGTTTTCTCCCGACCTACGATTCCTGATGGGGAGGCGGTCGTTAGAGGCGGATCGCCCCTCGTTACCCCCTGTACGCTACACCACGCACCATTAGGATGAAAGTCGACCCGATCGAAAAAATCTCGTACGACTGGAGAATCGTCCCGAAAAGGGCAAAAAATATGACAGTGTACACCCAGCTTTAGGAAGTCATGAGATCATTTTTAGCAGCAATATTATGTTTTATTTGTTAATTCAAACAATCAGAAAGAGTAACTAAACTGTAAATCATTCTGATGATATGTTTACGTTGGCCGTCCTTCGTGCTCGTCCTCATTTTCCCTTACCGGTGGTGAGTCTGACTGATTACTAATCTTCTTTTGGAAAGTAAGCTTGTATGAGCGACGCAAACAGCAACTGTTAAACAGAGCGTCCATGAGGAGAAATGGGCTTGCTCACATTTAATAGGCGGTCAGGAGCAGGTATAGGGTTGTGCATGCAATTTTCTTTTAAGTGGAGAGGGCTGGACTTTTCGAAAATTCGTGAAAATGCCTTTAAATGCCGCTATGCCTTAGCAAAAAGTAGTTTATTCAAGTATACCAAAAGTGCACTAATTTCATACTTAAAATCAGGCAGTGCACTTAGAGTTTACTTCTTCTAAACTATATGAAATATAAAATTGTACAGAACAGTTGTATGAAACACACAATCATGAAAATAAAATACACACAATAAAATCAACAATGAAATAAAATAATAGCAATACTTGGCCAAGTTCTAATTCTCAGTTCTAAATATCTTGGGTGCACCCTCTTAATCTGAATTCAAATTGGTAATAAACAATTCAGATTAAATTCAGTTCCAATTCAGGTTTGACTCATCATCATTCACCTGAGGAGAATGTCCACCACAGCGGTCTGTTTTAATGTCCGAAATAAATCTTGCAAAAAAATAAGGTCTTAAATCCTAAAATCAAACAATAAAAGTGAAAAAATGTCAGTCAATGGTCCCGTGCATAACCAACTGTGCGTGAAGATGTGAGTGAAACAGGCCTACCACACCGCAGGGTGCAGCAGGACTCCAAATGGAAAAGAATGAATCCAGTTCTTTCTCTAAGTCCAGGTGGGAAGGCTCGCCATCAATCACCGGAGGAACCCACCTCAGGAATAATCCAGCATAAAGAAAAAAAAAACCTGACCTGTCAACAGACAGGACCAGCAGAATAACAGAATTTTTATTAAGCTGTTCTAGCTTTAATCCTTGAATCATGCTTCTCTAGATATCATATCCAACATCAATGTGTTAAGTTACTCAATTTTGAAATAACCATTTCCCTTTTACCTCAATGCAGTATTTCACCACATTATCAATTCACTTATTCTTCTAATTGTAAAATATTTTTCAACACAATAATAAAACGTTACATTTTAACCAACTCAGTAAAAATTTACATTTTAATTATTAACTACATCCAACTAAATGCTATTTTTCAACAGCAATGTGATGAACAGAACAAAAACCTAAAGGAAATGCACAAAATATGCTTACCGATCTCACTGCAACCTGTTTGGGACAACAATATGATGGACAGGTGGGGCACTTCAACTGAATGGAGAACAAAATGAACCTCCAGAAACTAATAGCTAAGAGCTAACAAGGCTAGCAAGGTAGCTTTAATGCTCGGCAGAAAACTTTAGTTTTTAACTCACCTCAACTATTTCCAGCTTGAACTGTGGATGATAAACGGTAATTTTAACTGCAAACTGTTTGTTTTAAGTTTGTATCCGAACTATAACTGTCAGACTATCACACTGCACAGCTCAGCAGTCTCCTCCTCATGCCAGAACTGGTACTGCAGACGCGGGGAAACAAGACGGGACCCGCGCGGCAGTGGTCCTCTGACTCTTAAAGAGACATCGCCATTTTATGTATGTTACATGTACTTTAAACTTAAAAATGTCCCAATTTAGTTCTATGGAGTATTACTTTAGTAATACTTCAAGTACACTAAAAGTACATTGTTCGGTGTACTTTCTAAACTTATACTTAAGTATTCTTAATAGAATTTACTTCACGTATACCACTTTTTTTTTTACAAAGGGATGCCTTTAAACTTACTGCTAAAGGTGAAACTTGATTGCTACATTCATAACAAGTTGAACAATGACAAACTGAAAAACAGTCCACAAATACAACAACACAATCTGCAAAGCAACAGAGCGAAACGTGCAGAAAATCCTCTGGACTTTGTTTCCAAGTTTGAAGACGTTTCTCTTCCATCCAGGAAGATTTTTCAATTCCAAATGTCAGAAATAGCGTTTAGTTCCAGGTTTTATCCAGCAGCCCAACAAAGCCTGGTTTTAGTTTAGAAAACATGCAAATAGAAACGGATGAACGGGTCCCCCCCTTTGGAATAGGGGTCGTCTTTGAAAGGGGGTTGTTAGGGGGAATAGTTGGCCTGGCTGAATAGGTGAGGTCATCTTTTCCCCTGTAAAGGGGTTGGGATTGCAGACTGTACGGTGGCCCTGAAGTGCAAACTGCAACTACAAATCTAAAAGCGCAACTACATTAAGGAAAACACAATTACATTAACCTACCGGAAAAGGCAGGAACCAGTGGGAAACATGAGACATCGCTGATTGGACGACGGCGCCGTGTGACCCTTGAACCGGAAGTTGCGTAGTCTGAACAGTCCAGCTTCTTTTAAGTGTGTCTTCAGTGTACGCAAACTAACTGAAATTTGGTGATTAGTCTTGAGCACATCCAGTATCACCTCGTACGTATGTCCTGATTCAAAATATTCCTGGATAACGGCAGCTATGTTTGGAGCGCCGACAATATCCATGTTTTCAAAAGCCGCAGCAGGCAGAATGACTTCCGGTTCAAGGGTCAAACGGCGCCGTCGTCCAATCAGCGATGTCTCATGTTTCCCACTGGTACCTACCTTTTCCGGTAGGTTAATGTAATTGTGTTTTCCTTAATGTAGTTGCGATTTTAGATTTGTATTTGCAGTTTGCACTTCAGAGCCACCGTAAGACTGGGACCCATTCATCCATTTCAGTTTGCATACAATCTATGCCCGTACTCATTGTTAGGTAAAAGCAGGAAGGCGTTGATCATCAGATTTTTTAACCCAGCAGATCCGGCAGCCAAGCTTGGGGGCCGAGGCCCCATCCCCTGAAATGAGACATGAATCATCAGGAGGTCAGAATGTAGATCAGATCAGAGGAAATTAGCAGCTCTGCTTCCCAGCAGGTTTTGGAAGGTTGTTTAAATGAGAAGTTGCTGTTTTTCCTTTCATGCTTCTTCATATCTGCTGCATGCAGAGTAAAAATCTGTTTCTCCTGAATACGTCCAGAAAAGAAGCCGTCAGGAAGCACAGATTTATGGGAATTTGTGTTGCACAGCTAGCCTGGTGAGCTACTGTGGCCGACAAGATAATCATTGATGCAACTGCTAGCCAGCCACAACAGCTCGCTAATTTAGCTGATTTCCTGCCACCAGTGTATACCTGACTGTAAATCACATGCTAGACGAGGACTAGCCAGGAAGTCAGCGATGGCTGCGACTGCTGCGATTTGATTGGCTCCTAGATGTTAACGTTGTCTGCATAGAAGGAGAGCAGTGATTGGAGGAGAAGATCTCTGTGGTTCCCTGTAACGCAGCTAAACTGGGAGCATGGTGAGTTATTTCTGATGGAGGGTCCAGTAACTGAGGTTACAATAACAAAGAAAAAGTCCGGTCAGCAAGAAATAACCAGTTGGTCATTATCTATACCTAAAACTAATACGTTTGCAGTGATAAAAAAAATAAAAATAATAAATTAGTCGCGATCGCTGAGTCTGGGAGCAGCCATCTTTGCCCAAATATAGTAGCCCCTCCCTCCTGCCATCTTCCAGCAGTGACGTCATGGTGCGGTAAGCCTAGCGCCATTCTCCCCGCTTTACAAGCTAAATCAATGGGAACTACTAGACACATCTGCAATCAACAACAATTATTGAAGATTTCCAGAGGACTTCACCATTGAAATTCACCAGAGCTATAGTGAAACTGACAATGCCCACGTGCATGGCAGCTGGATGCTGGAATACATCGGGTAAAAGTGAAAAAAAGTTATTCCACCTTTCTGATTCCTGATCCTCCACGGACGGGTTGGTCGTTGGATCGCCAACTTGAA